ATAGGATATTTGAGGGTACCATATTCACATGAATTTGGACCAAATATAATGTTGCCAGATTTAGATGCCAAATTAATCTAGACACCAAACCATTATTAAAAAGCCAAACCTCGTGGAAATCGGATGAGATTTGACCGAGCTATGGGGGTGGGAAGTTTTGACCTATGTCTGTATAGGATATTTGAGGGTACCATATATACATGAATTTGGACCAAATATAATGTTGCCAGATTTAGATGCCAAATTGATCTAGACACCAAACCATTATCAACAAGCCAAACCTCGTGAAAATCAGATGAGATTTGACCGAGTTATGGGGGTGGGAAGTTTTGACCTATGTCTGAATAGGATATTTGAGGGTACCATATTCACATGAATTTGGACCAAATATAATGTTGCCAGATTTAGATGCCAAATTGATCTAGACACCAAACCATTATCAAACAGCCAAACCTCGTGAAAATCAGATGAGATTTGACCGAGTTATGGGGGTGGGAAGTTTTGACCTATGTCTGAATAGGATATTTGAGGGTACCATATTCACATGAATTTGGACCAAATATAATGTTGCCAGATTTAGATGCCAAATTGATCTAGACACCAAACCATTATTAAAAAGCCAAACCTCGTGGAAATCGGATGAGATTTGACCGAGTTATGGGGGTGGGAAGTTTTGACCTATGTCTGTATAGGATATTTGAGGGTACCATATTCACATGAATTTGGACCAAATATAATGTTGCCAGATTTAGATGCCAAATTGATCTAGACGCCAAACCATGAAGAAAGAAACAAGCCTCGTGAAAATCGGATGAGATTTGACCGAGTTATGGGGGTGGGAAGTTTTGACCTATGTCTGTATAGGATATTTGAGGGTACCATATATACATGAATTTGGACCAATTATAATGTTGCCAGATTTAGATGCCAAATTGATTTAGACACCAAACCATTATCAAAAAGCCAAACCTCGTGAAAATCGGATGAGATTTGACCGAGTTATGGGGGTGGGAAGTTTTGACCTATGTCTGTATAGGATATTTGAGGGTACCATATATACATGAATTTGGACCAAATATAATGTTGCCAGATTTAGATGCCAAATTGATCTAGACACCAAACCATTATCAAAAAGCCAAACCTCGTGAAAATCAGATGAGATTTGACCGAGTTATGGGGGTGGGAAGTTTTGACCTATGTCTGAATAGGATATTTGAGGGTACCATATTCACATGAATTTGGACCAAATATAATGTTGCCAGATTTAGATGCCAAATTGATCTAGACACCAAACCATTATTAAAAAGCCAAACCTCGTGGAAATCGGATGAGATTTGACCGAGCTATGGGGGTGGGAAGTTTTGACCTATGTCTGTATAGGATATTTGAGGGTACCATATATACATGAATTTGGACCAAATATAATGTTGCCAGATTTAGATGCCAAATTGATCTAGACACCAAACCATTATCAAAAAGCCAAACCTCGTGAAAATCAGATGAGATTTGACCGAGTTATGGGGGTGGGAAGTTTTGACCTATGTCTGAATAGGATATTTGAGGGTACCATATTCACATGAATTTAGACCAAATATAATGTTGCCAGATTTAGATGCCAAATTGATCTAGACACCAAACCATTATTAAAAAGCCAAACCTCGTGGAAATCGGATGAGATTTGACCGAGTTATGGGGGTGGGAAGTTTTGACCTATGTCTGTATAGGATATTTGAGGGTACCATATTCACATGAATTTGGACCAAATATAATGTTGCCAGATTTAGATGCCAAATTGATCTAGACGCCAAACCATGAAGAAAGAAACAAGCCTCGTGAAAATCGGATGAGATTTGACCGAGTTATGGGGGTGGGAAGTTTTGACCTATGTCTGTATAGGATATTTGAGGGTACCATATATACATGAATTTGGACCAAATATAATGTTGCCAGATTTAGATGCCAAATTGATTTAGACACCAAACCATTATCAAAAAGCCAAACCTCGTGAAAATCGGATGAGATTTGACCGAGTTATGGGGGTGGGAAGTTTTGACCTATGTCTGAATAGGATATTTGAGGGTACCATATATACATGAATTTGGAGCAAATATAATGTTGCCAGATTTAGATGCCAAATTGATCTAGACACCAAACCATTATCAAAAAGCCAAACCTCGTGAAAATCGGATGAGATTTGACCGAGTTATGGGGGTGGGAAATTTTGACCTATGTATAAATAGGGTTTATGAGGTGTGTGTGAATATGCGTGTGTGTATGTATGTGCGTATATATGTATGTATGTATGCATGTAAGTTGCCTTCCATGGCCATAGCAGATCAAATTGTCTTGTTGCGCGGCAAGTGTAAATAAGAAAACGTATATATTAAAGATGCTCTCCTCCTCGATTCTCAAAAATGTAAGTAAGGCCTGCAGGCTTCACCTACGAATTAGGCGCAGGCGGCTTCAACGCTGGAAGCTGAGGAGCATGGTGGTGGCCCAGGAGGAGGAGCACCAAGGGGGCGGAGCTGGAGGCGTAAGTTTGTAGGTATGTACGTATGTACGTATGTAGGTATGTAGGTATGTAGGTATGTATGCATGTATGCATGTATGTATGTATGTATGTATGTATGTGTGTATGTATGTATGTATGTATGTATGTATGTATGTATGTATGTATGTATGTATGTATGTATGTATGTATGTAGGTAGGTAGGTATGTATGCATGTATGTATGTATGTATGTATGTATTAATGTATGTATGTATGTATGTATGTATGTATGTATGTATGTATGTATGTATGTAGGTATGTATGTATGTATGTATGTATGTGTATGTGTATGTGTATGTATGTATGTATGTATGTATGTATATGTATATGTATATGTATATGTATATGTATATGTATATCCATATCTATATCTATATCTATATCTATATCTATATCTATATCTATATCTATATCTATATCTATATCTATATCTATATCTATATCTATATCTATATCTATATCTATATCTATATCTATATCTATATCTATATCTATATCTATATCTATATCTATATCTATATCTATATCTATATCTATATCTATATCTATATCTATATCTATATCTATATCTATATCTATATCTATATCTATATCTATATCTATATCTATATCTATATCTATATCTATATCTATATCTATATCTATATCTATATCTATATCTATATCTATATCTATATCTATATCTATATCTATATCTATATCTATATCTATATCTATATCTATATCTATATCAATATCAATATCAATATCTATATCTATATCTATATCTATATCTATATCTATATCTATAGCTATATCTATGTATATGTATATGTATATGTATATGTATATGTATATGTATATGTATATGTATATGTATATGTATATGTATATGTATATGTATATGTATATGTATATGTATATGTATATGTATATGTATATGTATATGTATATGTATATGTATATGTATATGTATATGTATATGTATATGTATATGTATATGTATATGTATATGTATATGTATATGTATATGTATATGTATATGTATATGTATATGTATATGTATATGTATATGTATATGTATATGTATATGTATATGTATATGTATATGTATATAATATATAATGTTACATAAGGCTCGCGTGCTTCATCAATTTAGAATGATTACCTACATATGTATAGGATAATTGAGGATACCATTTTTACATGAATTTAGACCAAGAATTATGTTGACAGATTTAGTTGCGAAATTGATCTAGTGGTCAAAACATGAACAAAACGCCACGACTTATGAACATCAGTCAGTTAGTCAGGACAAACAGTTTTTTATATAGAGTTATATTTGATTTATATTTGTTAACGGCGAAGTGAATTTAATAATTTTAGCTTAAAGTTTCCAAAATATATAAATACAAATGTACAAATAAGCTGAGCTAGAGTACATTTTAAGCGTGTATATTCTTGAAGGAAAATGCAAAACAAGTCCCTATGCACCATCTTAGTAGCAAGTAGTTGGTGGGCAGTGTCGACTAGATTCCTGTTGTTCCATACAGATGCGGTCAAAGCAAGTGGCGTAATCGGGATACAGACACAGATTTAGCACTAGGAGCACGATGAAACTATTTCCGCGAGGCTTTGCTCGCATTTCTGGCGATGAAAACAATCATAGAGTGAGCCCAGATTCGCGAGTCGGCAGCACAACTGCGCGGCACGATGACAGGCGGTGCCTGTCTGATAGCTGGGCTCCGATGGGTACAGCACGGAATCTGTAGAGTATCAAATGGTTCGGTTTACTTGGCATTCGAGTCGGTTATATTATGCTCACCTTGACGTAGGACAGGCCGTGGCCGTGGCCTTGGCCTGGGCGGACTTGCCTGGACTGAAGGCGTAACAACATTCCCTGCAATTAAAAGGCGCCGACATGTTAACTTTCGTGGCGTGAACGTGAGTGAGTGCATGCATGCATGTGAGCGATTAGCTAGCCAATAAAAATTTAATTAATTTACACTCTACTGACCACTGGGTGCAGCCCTCTGCTATTGTTCATCATGCACTTAATAACAATGACAACAAAAACTCTTAACTCTATGTTGCTCTCATGCTCTAATTAGGGACCACACCACAGACGGTGGGGTAGGTTTTTATTTTATGGTATATATATTTGCAGTCCCTGAGCGTTAGTCAGGAGGGGAGGGGCCTAGAATGAGGATTGAAGGATGCTATAGTAGATGGTTAATTAAGAGATAAGTGCTTAAATTGCTTCAAGGATTGTCGTTTGTGCAATTGTAATTGGGCCAAACATGCATTGGGCATTTTCAAATAAACTTAAACTTAAACCAATTATTGAGTTAATTTAGTTAATTAGCAAACAGGAAGATAGAAATAGTTTGGAAATACCACACCGATAAATACTCAAGGATATCAGAGTATTAAACACACATTATGTCTGCAATGAATCCATTTAGGTCCTGTTTTATGGTGATCAAGAGGATGCTTTATTTTCGATTTTAGACCTAGCTTAAAATAAATTAAAATGATTTCCTGTATAGCTATTAAAATTACATTGAAATTGGGCACACAGCCATACAAAACAATCCGAATACTTTTTGTTAGATTAATGGCCCAGCGCAGACTGCGCCTATTTAGACGATCGCGTTAAGGAGGCTATCGCACGGTCGCGAATGTTGTCGGCACAGGGATTAACACCCCAGAAGGCACCGTGGCAGCCGAACTCCTCAAAGCAGTTGTATCGAATCGTATTGCTTCCCTGCGAACAGCAATTGACAATTGCCCACACGCAGTTGGACACCCGCGGTGTGGTCTGTGCTCCGGGTGAGCTTGTGACCTGCGGCCGTGGCGCCGGTCGACGGGTGGTTGGTGGTGACCATACTTCTGGTCGGCTGGTTGTTGGAGGCCACGATGGAAACTGTATGTCAGGTGTCCGTGCTGTGACGTAACAAGAATGTGAACTGGTCAGCAAAGAGTATGAGATAGAAAGAAGAAGGAAATGCAGATGCAGCGATGGGAAATGATTGACGACCTATCGTTTTGTTAGGAAGCAAAGATACTCTGTTATGTACACTGATGGATGATGGATCGTAAATTAACTAGATAAGTATGATAAGAGAACTCTAGCTTACCTGGGCCACTACTTGGACGTCGCCCTTGACTTGATCCCCAAACTGGCCCAGACTCTGATTCTGTGAATATAGCTTGATTGACATTTCAGCAAATGGATCAAATGGATGACTTACCTTGCACTGGGGGTGACTGAAAATTGTTGCCGTTGTTGCCGCCGGTAGCTGGTCTGGGCTGATCGAAAACCGAGAAGTCCGCATCGTCCGGATTCGAATTGTGAAACAGGCTGTTTTCATTATCATCGCCAAAATCGTCACGGTTGTCAATGCGCATCGGCTTGAGGGAAGGTTTTTGGGTCTGCCAAAACGGAAGTTTTCCCTGATACTTTGGTTTCTTGCCAACAACCGGAATCCTGAAATGAATAATGTGCAGACTAGTAAGACGCCCCAAGTGTGAGTTATAGTATTACCTTTGATAGTGATATTGCGGTTGAATGGGCAGATAGTAGGGTGCTGGTGCTGCCTTTCCATAGTATTCATTCTTATAGGCTTTACGCACATACGGATTGTCAGCCTGGCGACGCTGGCGACTGTGATACTTTTTGGGATACTTCTGTAGTGATTCCTGCTTCAAGGGCTGCACAAGCTGGGCGACCTCATACTTGTCGGCAACAGAGTCATCATCACCCAATATGAGTGGCGTTTCGGGCAGCACATCAAATACGATCTTTTCCTCGACCGCAACCGATTTTGTCGGAGGTCTTAGGTGATGATGCCGAATCCGCTGCTGACCCTTGAACAGCTTTCGATGGTGCACTTTGGTTTCGTTTTTGTTGGGATCTGTGTGGAAATTATTTTTAACTAAATTTCGATAAAAAATGACAGCGCTTCTTACCGTAGTCCTCGCTGACAAAGTCCTCTTTGTACATTACCTCCGGATGATCCTCGTGCATGACACCGTCCACGACCTTCACATGATGAATCTGCAGCAAGGATGCAAATTCAAGTTAAGGATAAAAGGATTCGCATTCTCTATATCCCCCCGCGCTTACCTCCACGTTGTCTGCATCCGGCGGCAAAGCTGCAATGTCACCTTCATTTTCCGCGGCCTGGGCAACAAAAAGCAGAAGAGTCACTAAAAGCACCGGAAGTCCGGCTTTTGACGGTCTCGTTTTGTTCATATCCCCAAAGTTTGTGCTTCCTGTTTGTGGTGTTAGCTCTACAGTGGAGAAGAGAGAGCAAGGATTCATCATTAGTTGGCAAGTTTTATTGGGCAACTCAATCTCAATTAGTTGGCCCACAAGCCTTGCGTAGCAAAAGTTTTGAAACTGTAAATTTTATTTGGCTTTTGGCCAGGCTCAGAGTTTGTTTCGGCCTCAAGGTTTGTTTCAAATTAGACATCAAGTTTAGTGCAATTTTTCTTCGCCTTCGTGCCTTGCGGTTAACTTTTCGATTACTTTTCTCCGACATCTGTTTTGTTTTTCTAATGCTCGGAATTATTGCGGCCCAGACTCGTTGTAGCCCACAAAACTTTGTTTTGGAAAAGACGAAGCACACACTCGCGCTCTAAACTTATTTTCTAACATTCAATAACATTTCTATTACATATATTTATAATGTTCACCCACTTTGAATGTGGACTTCAATTGCGCTTCAAAATGTGCTTCCTATATGGTTCGAATATTATAGGTCGTTTCGCTTCGGTGAACAAATCGATACTGCGCTATTTTAGCCGAAAGCAATTGAATTTAATGAGATCCCAACACAGCTGAAAACAACAGCTGACATAAGTCAATATTTGCTCAAAGATTGCCCCCCCCCCTCCCCCCTCCCGACGCTTTTCAATTGACTTTTCTCGAGAATTTCATGTTTCTCACGATCAGCCTTATGCGAGCTCGCATAGCCCAGTTATTCATGAAAGTAAACAATACTCCTATATGAGTAATTCTCATGAACTTAGAGTTATGCAGAGATAGGTCTGCAAAATAACCCTGATAACCCTGCTAGACGTACATTTGTAGACTCACAACATCTTTGCAATAACGATTAATTTGAACAGACTATATTTTATACTTTTTATGAAGAAAATGTTTATTTTAAGCGACTATTATCAATGTGAAGACCAAGATGGTGACTAAGAGAATTGTGGTGCATATATTCCCTTTGGGAGATTCTAGAACTTTGACTAAGAGTTAAAGTTGAGTCATATGTTGCTTATTATTCTTATCAGCCTAACAAATATTGCTGACGTGCATAGTTAAATGCAAACATTGCTTCGTATTGCAAATGGCACACACTGTGGGAAATGCGTACACATTTTTTGGTTTATTGCCAAAAAGTTAATTAAAATTTGAACATTTATTTTTGGCATGGGAAAAATGACTTTTTTCTTAGAATCAACCGAAAAGCCAATAACAAAACAAATATGAGCGAATTTCGTGTACCCATTGAAAATGGGTAAAAAAGGGTATTATGTTTTTGTGCAAATGTATGTAACAGGCAGAAGGAAGCATCTCCGACCCCATAAAGTATATAAATTCTTGATCAGCATCAACAGCCGAGTCGATCTAGCCATGTCCGTCTGCCCGTCCGTCCGTATGTATAAACGCAAGGATCTCAGAACCTATAAGAGCTAGAGATTTGAAATTTTGGTTTTAGATCCTCCTAGTGCCCGCGCAGATCGAGTTTGTTTCCGATAACTTGCCCCGTTTCCAAGAAATCGATAAAAATCGATATCGAAATCCTGTTTTTTGAGCAAATCTCGTAAATAATATGAGCTAGAGTCACCAAACTTGACATGTAGCTTCTAGAATAGTATATACATATCAAGTATTTTTCATTTTATAGCTATCGCCTGTTGGAAGAAGAGGGTTCAGGGTATCCCCTAGTCGGGAGCTTCCGACTAGAACCTCTTACTTGTTCTGACTGTTTGGTTACTAGGCATAAAATAAAGCTGTCTCAGCTGGAAGCTGACTACAGGACTACAGCAAGGACGACAGCCAATTACCTTAATAAAGCATTTAATTTCAAAGCGTGAATCTATTGCAGTTATGTGAGCCTTAGGAAATATTAATTGAGCGCAAATGGAGCTGTGCAGATAGAAAGGCAAGCCTTACAAATTGCTATATACATATATTGGAGAGACTGGGCAATAAAATGATATATGCTGTCATAAATGTGCAGCCAATAAAACGGAGTAAAATATTTGCAAAAATCTATTTTTCGGCTGCCATTGGAATATTTGTCTATTGCAATTAGAACATTAACGAAGTGTAGTAAAATATTTAATTTTGAATTGTTTACACGTTATTAAAACCATCACATTTTGCCGTAAGCGGCACTCATTTCGGGCCAAACCAAACAATACATTTTCATTTCAGATATGTTGGCCACAAAATTCGCGAAATATTTTTAGGCAAATGTGGTTATTTGCATAGGTGCGCGTGTGCGTGCAGGTGTGCATATATTAGAGGTATATATAAAGTGTATATTCGTATGTGTGCTAGATAAAGCCAAAAATGATGGAGCGTTGGGCAAAGGCTGAAAAATTTTTGATTGAAGTAGAGCATTAGCACGAAAATAAATAAAAACAAGTTAGAGGTTCTAGTCGGGTGCTCCCGACTAGGGGATACCCTGAACCCTCTTCTTCCAACAGGCGATATCTATAAATAGAAGGATACTTGATATATATAAACTATTCTAGAAGCTACATGTCAAGTTTGGCGACTCTAGCTCATATTATTTACGAGATTTGCTCAAAAAAAGGATTTCTATATCGATATTTTTATCGATTACTTGGAAACGGGGCAAGTTATCGAATATCGGAAACAAACTCGATCTGCGCGGGCAGACCTACAGCTAAAATTTCAAGTCTCTAGCGCTGATCAAGAATATATATACACTTTATGGGGTCGGATATGCTTCCTTTTGCACAAATACATTATACCCTTTTTACCCATTTTTAATGGGTTCAGTGTATACAAAATATCAAGTATTAAATTAATCTAAAATCTAACATGCTTTGCTATAAATTCAAGCAAGCTTAATAATTTATAACACAATTTCATCATTATTGCAAATTTGCTATTTCGATTTGACATGTTATCAACAACAAATGGAATTGACATTAATTTTGAATTTCCACACAGAATTAAGCTTAATTGCGCTGCAAATTTATCCCTTTTTTGTGATTTTATTTTATTTACATGTGAAATAAAATATACAACAAGACATAAATAAAATAATGACCTAATTTTTAGAATTTAATCGAATTTGGGGGATATTTTATATTAATAAATGCGTTGAATAATATCAAATTCAAGGAATATTTTTAAATAAACTACTCAAATTTCGCAGACCAAACTATTAATTACTATTTATTTAATTATTCAATATTTATTTGTATTATTTGCATAGCAATATTTACTGGTTTAAGTTGATGCAAGGACTTTTAATGTGGCGAGCCACAAATCGAATTAATAATCGAGCATGATTTATATACAGAACACATGAGGGGCTAATAAATGACGTACATTGGCCACTTAAGTAATTGTTTATCTAGTAAAGTGAGGAGCACTCAATTGGATGGCCAAATGGGTAGCCAACCGAACAGCCATGTGTGGATGTGGCTTGGCGATCCGCTGGGCAATGGACCGACCGACCTGGCCACATGACCTTCTCGGCAAATTGTATTTTTCTAAGCAGGCGATAAAGTTTTCACAAAAGCAACAAACGAACACATTCTGCTGGCCGACTAATCCCGTCAGCCGTTTCTCATAATGTAGCCATTTAGCTGGCAAACTCGTCATATGCCTCGAAAAAACGGCTAAGGGCCGAGTCAGTGAAGCGTGTCCAAGCCAGGTGGCCTGGCCAGGACGAGGGCGCAAATTGGACTGCTTACGTGAGCCGGGCTCTCAAAGAGCCAGAGCTGCTCTGAATGACCAGTCGACTGGCGACTGTGAGCTGGACTCCTCCTGTTGGCCGGGACAGTACTTGCGAATCGGGCGGACTTTACGTGACACTTTACTCGGTACTCAACGCGGCGGGAAGTCAATATAGTCAGCGGAAATGTCGATCTCGGCAGAGACAGCAGCAGCTGATAAATGGAATATGCAGCATTTCTAGGAAACGCAAAAAGACCAACAGAAAGTGACTAAAAGCAAACAGAAGAGTCGAAATAAAGATGCAGCGAGGTAAGAGTAAAAAAGAAAACAATATGTATGAAATACATGACGAGCTCATGATATTGTTTCGGGCAGAGTATTCTAGCTTCGGTCTGCAGGCGAACACAAAAGTGTTTAAATTATGCACGCTTTTTTTTCAGTGCTGTTTGTTCTCTCCATATATTTATTCGCCAAATAGAAGCGTCTAAATAAAGATGCAGCGAGGTAAGGGTATACATATATTCGTCTAAATAAAGATGCCGAGAGGTAAGAGTATATACAGGCTTTATTTAAAAAATGCGCAATAACTCGGGATGACGCAGCTAATGAAAACCAAAGGCAGTGGCATGCAACAAAATGTAATTTTAAATACTGTGATTCCTTGGACTAAGCTCATTTGTTTACAGGTACAGGTATACACAGGTACACACAGGTGCTGTCAGTGTCAGTGCGTTGGCCAAAACGGGCGTGACAAGGATTTGAATACCGTTTCCATATTAAGTGGCTTACAATGCCAGGCTATAGTAGAGGCAGTGGCAACTTCTGAAAGTCCTTCCGTGTTTGTTCCGTTCCATTCATGTGTCAACGTGTCGACATGTCGACATGTCGACATACTCTCACGTGCAGAAGTTACACCTGGTTGCAACAGCATGCAAATTGTATTTAAATGGATTTTTGATAGCCAAGCTCTAATTAAGAGTTTTTTCTAATTCAGAGTTTTTCGGTTTCTGTTGTAATTAATGTGCTTTTGGCCCGAATGCGGCCGCATTATTGCGATTTGTTTGTTCCATGGTGCGTATACGCAATATGAACGATGACATCCATTGCCTTGGAATGCCATCCATTGCCTTGGAATGCGGCCAGCTGCTGTCAGTTTTTTTCGCATGAGTTTCTTTGTATTGCAGTTTTTTCCATTTCTTTTTCATAAATGTATACACAGTATCTGCATATGCTTCCAAACGTTGGGATATATACAATTTGCTATGACGTTTGCCCACAAAAGTTTTGGTACAACAAGAGGGTTAAGAAATAAAACACATCATGAGCTCATGATATT